TAAAATTCTTCCACAGCGGAGGTAACTTCTCAATGAAAGCAGCGACTTGAAAGGCCTCATTTATGACCATACCTTCAATACCAAATTCATTATTAATAATAAGATAAATCTTATTAATAAAATTATTGATTTGGGTCATACCTTCAGTAAGGAGGTCATGTACAATGACTTGTAGTTCTTGGACTTGAGTTATGACCGACCTAGTGTCAATCATCTTGAAATCCAAGAACCTTGCAGCCACGAACTTCTTAAGTTCGGCATCCTCAGTCTTGTACTTCTTCTCAAGCGCATTCCATAACGCTTTTGAAGTTTCCATGACACTATAGACATTGTACAAGCCATCTTCCAAACAACTCAAAATGTAATTTTTGCACAGGAAATCAGAATGTTTCCATGCTTCAGTTACAACAAGTCGTTCATCATCCGGAGTATTTTCAGCCATGACCGGAGGATGGTCCTTGATGAAACGTTGCAAACTCAACGTAGTAAGATAGAAGAGCATCTTCATTTTCCAGCGTTTGAAGTCAATACCGAAAAACTTTCCGGGTTTTTCCGCCGGTGCCATAGCATGAGCAGGAGTAGAACGGCTTGACGAGGCAGCAGCACTCGTAACAGTAGCACCCGTTCCCGCAACACTTCCATTAGTTTGGTTTTCATTCGTCATATTTCTGTAAAGTTGAAAACAATACAGAACTTTGTTAAATCAGTGAAGTTTTGATATCTTCAAACTGAATATCAAACCAAACATACAACACATAACAATGGTGAAGTTTTTATATACTTCAAACCCGTACGTTTATTATTCCGGCAAAGTTTTTATGTACTTTAAACCGGACAGAAAGAATTATTGGAGTAGAAAGCAACAAGGCTTTAGTCTCCAAAACAGTATATAAAATACGATTAACAGTTTAATAAATGTTTCAACACAGATACGTTAGTTTAAAATTCCTTAAGCTTGTGAGCGTTACTGTGTTAAAATACAAAATCAGGAAAACAAAACTGTTAGAGGAATTAAAGAAATCTGGAAAAATAGTAGAGTTTAAGAAATATTCCGAGTCCACAATTTGCTTGTGTGTCCTTAAGGAATTTTAACCCCCTCACACGTTGCCAAGGTTATGGATTAAATCCTCCCAGGATAAAACGGAATAAACCTTCCTGCAACAGTGGCAATACAAACTGCAGGATACCAACGAACTTAAAGAACGGAGCAAAATCACACTTACGAATTTGAGAGAGAGAGAGACTGCGAATTAGAATGCAGTATATTCAGAAAGAAAGAAGTTCTGGAGTGTTTTTCATATATAGAAAATGGACCCTTGCCTCAGAATTTATAGGCAATTATCAGAAGAGGTGTCTGAGGTGCCTTTTCAGAAGAATACGCTGCCTGCCGCGCTTCTACTGGGGTCGCGGCAGAACCGCGGTCAGAGGAGCCTTCTGAACCTACCTGTCGCGGTCGCGGCAGAACCGCGGTCAGAGGGGCTTTCTGAACCTTCAGCAGCAGGGTTCTGGCGTTTTTTCAGCAGTGATTTGGCATTTAATTAATTATTAAATAATTAAATAAATTTTGTCCAAAAAATAATCTTATCTTATTGATCATTTGACAAATCCAAATCCAAATCCAAAGCAGAAGCCAAGCGAGCGAGCGAGCGACGGCGCGAGGGTTCATTCTCTTCAACTCCTTTTATGAGCTTTAAGAAGTGATTCTATATATAAGCACACAAATGTGGTTGTCCCTCACCAATGAGGGACAAAGTGCAAGACAAAAGTCCACTTCTTCAAATTTTCAATTTCCCTCCATTTTATTTCCCTCCATTTTCAATTCACACTTCTTCTACTTTAAAGCCCAATGGCTTAAAGTCCAACAATTACTAATATTGTGGCGTATTGTTCAATTACTATTTCACTAAAAAACTTTTGACTTGGTGATAAGACTAGTTTTTAGCTTTGTCACGCATTAACCAAATATAGGGTGAATTGAAAATGGCTACTTCAGGAATAATTTATTTATTTGACTTCATCTTATAATCCGGATGATTGCTAGACGCCAAGTTACACTAATGATATTTCCCAGATCAAGTTTGCACATTTGCACGACAGCGATCACCAACTGTAGTTCATATATGGCCTTAATTATGAATTTCAGAAAATTTCTCTTCAAAGAAAAACTTGTGTTAGCTAGGTGTGAAAATTACCTCAGCAAAAATTAAAGTGCATCAGGAGTGAAGTAAATTAACAATATTTCAAAGAATTATTGCATGTTTTCTTGTGTTAGCTAGGTGTGAGAATTGGTGGTAATTACACTGTGTAATTACAAGATTGCCTTTTAGTTTCATTCTTTTTGTTTTTATTTTAATTTATTTTCTTGATAACTTTTTATTTCTATTATTTTAATTTTTTAATTTTATTTTTACTTTTAAATTTCTTTTGAAATTTTAAATATATTTTTCTTTATACATTAATTATCTTTTATTTCTCTATCTTCACTTCTTGTGATTCCATAATTGCTTATATTTTATTTTTTATTTATTTTATAGTTCTATGTTTTGAAACTACACCTCCTAATATTAAAAATAATGAGTCATTAATAACTTGGCATATAATGAATGATGCAATAAAAGTGGAATTCCGTTGTTGAACATTGTTATAAACTATTATGTTTCCTAATCTTAAGTTGGAGTGAGACTTACTATTATTATGTTGGAATTTGACATATGTTAAACTATTTTATTTTTTTATTTTTGAAATTGTGTTATATTCATGGTTCCAATTTACTTGTTTTAGTAGTATTGGCTCACAATGTTGTTCTTTTTTTTTTTTTTTGTTAGAATTGATAGATTAGTTTTGCCAAACATTTGAATAATGTTATGACACTATATTTATAAATATTAATTTATTTTGTCAATCATGAATTCCATGATATTCTTACAAAACGTTTATTTTTAGTTTTTGCACGTATCTAAACTAAATATTATTATTTTAGAAAATATATATATATATATATATATATATATATATATATATATATATATATTATTTTACAATATAATTTATAATTATATGATTATTAATTAATGTATATTCACGAAAAAATATACATCTTAAATAGTACCAAATATAAGTTTTGATAATTACTTAATTTAAAATTTAATCTAACAGTGTAATTACACTTGTGCAACCAAACAGTAAAATTGTAATTACAGTGTAATTACACTATGACAAACAAACATGTCGTCGTAATTATACAACTGTATAATTACTAGGTTGTGTAATTACTACCCTAGTAATTACACCAATTCCAATTATAGGGTGGTTTTCCAAACAGACTCTAAGTGATATGCTTGCTAAAGACATTTTGGGGTAGTGGTAAGGTCTGCGTACACACTACCCTCCTCAGACCGCACTTAGTGGGACTTTACTGGGTCGTTGTTGTTGCTAAAGACATACCGTATAAAGTCCTTCAAGTTTGAAGTAGCTGTGATGACTTTTTTAGGATAGCAGATGTTGTCAATTCACTAATAATAGATATCTCATAAGTTAGTATCTCATACTGAATATTAAGTAACCCATTCTCCGTACACTGCCAGATGGAGCCGAAGGAAGTACTTTAATTTGCTAGGTCTGGCGATATCAATTTGAAAATAGTCATAACTGTAGAAATGATTCCATTACAAAAAGAGATAAATCTCGACTTTAAAGTTTTTTCAGGAAAAAATAAAAAGTTTCTTCTAATCTTCATGTTTTACTGGCCCTCTCCTAAAATGGATAGATATAAAGAAAATTAAATAAGAAAAAGAGAAAACAAAAGGCTAGCTAGAGAGAGGAGAAAATTAGAGATAATTTTATTCATGGTAATTGAACTTTTGTGTTTGTTACCCAAAAGTCACTTTTTTTTTTTTTTACGTAAAAGTCATTCAATTTTGTGTTCAAAAGTCACTTTTTTTTCTTTTGTTACACAAAAATCATTTTACTTTGCTCTAGTTATCACAAAAGTCACATTTTTACTTGAAAAGCCTATTACGCCTTTGATATTATATAAACTTTCATATTTATGTAATACCTTCTATATTATATACTATATAATATATTTTTACCTATGTATTTTATTTATAAATAAAATAACTTAATATTATTCTATTTATTATTTTTATAATATATTCGAATATTTAATTTTTTCTAACTTTAATTTTGAAGATATATTAGTAGCGTTATAAAACAAATTTTTTCAGCAATTTTTTTTTTTTTTTGAATTTAATTGTTCCGACCAACTTTGGTCGGTATGCCCTTCCGACCTTCACAATACCGGCCATGCGTTAATGGTCGCGTTTTTGGACAGTATTAGCCATTATCGACCAACTTTGGTCGATTTTTTTGGACGGGTTTTCCCGAATTTCTAGTAGTAATTTTCCAAATAACAAATTGCCTAGGTAATCCCCAAGAAAAAACTAAATTCGCATGTAGAGTTACCTAGGGATTTCTTTCAGATTAAAATATGATATTTTTCCTCATTTTCTTTGTTTGTTTACCTGCGAATTTTCTCACGAAAAAGTACTTGCTGATTTATTTCTCTACTAATATATATTAAAGTTACTGACAAATTTAATAACGCTACTAATATATTTTGAAAATTAACGTCATGAAAAAATTAAATATACGAATATATTATAAAAATAACAAAATAAAATAATATCAAGTACTTGATTTATAAATAAAATACATAGTTAAAAATATATTATATAGTATATAATATAGAAGGTATTACATAAATATGAAGGTTTATATAATATTAAAGGCATAATAAACTTTTCAAGTAAAAATGTGACTTTTGTGATAACTAGAGTAAAGTAAAATGATTTTTGTGTAACAAAAGAGAGAATAGTGACTTTTGTGTAATGAACACAAAGTTGAATGATTTTTACGTAACAAAAAAAAAAGTGACTTTTAGGTAACAAACACAAAAGTTCGATGACCATGGATAAAATTAACTCGAGAAAATTAACACGTAGTATAATAATATAACTTACTTTATTCATCTCATAATCTCTGCATTTTGCAAGGAGATCGAAACTGAACAAAACATACACAAAGACAGAGAAATAAAATATAGGGTACAAACAAAATCAATAACTTAGACAACATGAAGCTACAAAAGAACTTCGCCTCCTGTGGGGCTTATTAATTACTCTCTTTTTTCTTTTCTTCTTCTTGTTCTTTTCTCATTGCCTCTCGAAATTGGAAAAAGCCTTTCTTTTAGCTCAACATTCTGCTTTTCCTGCATAAGAATATACGTTGTGTAATTAGGTTCTTAGTAATATCAAAAGATACTGAAAATTCTGAACAGCTGGTAACTGATAAATGAAGCTAGGAAAATAAGAAGCAGAGAGCGCAGTTCTTTATATTATATTAAAGTTTTCCATGAACACAGTTATATATGCAATTTGCTTTGCATTCTTGACATATCATTTTGAAAATGTCTTAATTAATTTGGCTTATTTACCTTCAACTTTGTGATGTCACTTCTTAGTAATGGTAGGGAGGAGGAGGAGAAGTGTAAAGATAGGGGTGGTGTGGTGGTGGAGACTTGTAGACTGGAGTTGGTGGTGGAGGTGATTTGTAAACAGGAGTTGGTGGTGGTGGAGACTTATAAACTGGTGCAGGATGGTATGGTGTTGGTGAAGGATGGTATGGCTTCACTGGTGGTGGTGGTGACTTGTAAACTGGAGCTGGCGGTGGTGGGGATTTGTAAACTGGTGCAGGATGATACGGTGTTGGTGAAGGGTGGTATGGCTTCTTTGGTGGTGGTGGTGACTTGTAAACTGGAGTTGGTGGTGGTGGGGACTTGTAAACTGGTGCAGGATGATACGGAGTTGGTGAAGGGTGGTATGGCTTCTTTGGTGGTGGTGGTGACTTGTAAACTGGAGTTGGTGGTGGTGGAGACTTGTAAACTGGTGCAGGATGATACGGTGTTGGTGATGGGTGGTATGGCTTCTTGGGTGGTGGTGGTGACTTGTAAACGGGAGTTGGTGGTGGTGTCGACTTGTAAACCGGGGTGTGCGGAGGGTAGTATGGCTTCTTAGGTGGTGGTGGTGACTTATAAACTGGAGTTGGTGGTGGTGGAGACCTATAAACCGGGGTGTGTGGAGGGTAGTATGGCTTCTTGGGTGGTGGTGGCGACTTGTAAACTGGAGTCGGTGGTGGTGGAGATTTGTAAACGGGGGTGTGTGGAGGGTAGTATGGTTTCTTGGGTGGTGGTGGTGACTTGTAAACCGGAGTTGGTGGTGGTGGCGACTTGTAAACCGGGGTGTGTGGAGGATAGTATGGCTTCTTGGGTGGTGGTGGTGACTTGTAAACGGGAGTTGGTGGTGGTGGCGACTTGTAAACCGGGGTGTGTGGAGGATAATATGGCTTCTTGGGTGGTGGTGGTGAATTGTAAACCGGAGTTGGTGGTGGTGGAGATTTATAAACGGGTGCAAGATGATATGGTGTTGGTGAAGGGTGGTATGGCTCCTTAGGTGGTGGTGGAGACTTATATACAGGGTGGTGGGGTGGTGATGGATAGACATGCACTGGTGGAGGAGGAGACTTGTAGAGGTATGGTTTCTTAGGTGGTGGTGGAGATGAGTATTGATAATTTGCTGAGCTTTCAGAAGCTAAGCTAAGTGACACTAAAACTACTAAAAGAGTGGCAAATAGAGAAGCCATTTTCCCCATCTTTGAAACAAATGAGAGAAGTTGTTGTCCTCTTAAGCTTCACTACGACCCCTTTATATAGCTTTCATTCAGACAATTACCCTTTTCAAGATTTTCTTAAATGAAGGTAAAAGTCTCACTTAAAACCTACCAAAGTAAAAAAGCTAGAGTATATATGCATTTTGAATTGGTTTTGTCATGTTGTTGGCTCAAATTGACTTGAGTTGGTATACTTTTTTTTGTTCGATAGAGGCTGCAAGCTAAGCAAAGGAATAAACTATTATGGCAGCTATACTATTTCTGATGCAATAATTCAAAGAGAAAAGTCTCCTTTTACTGAAACTTGGAAAAAACAAGTGTGGATGCCTCAACTTTGCACGATTTCAGTTACAGAAATCAGAGCAGCTAGCTTTTTTATATGATTCTTTAACTTAAATTAATGTTCTATTCAATGTATGACTAATTTCAAAAAGAAAAACTATGAAACTTGACATTTACTACCGAAATCACAAAGAGTGAAATTAATTCACTTGTATTAGACATTGATAAATTGAGTAAAGTTAATATTCAATCATGATTAATTAGTGTCAATCCTTGTGTCGCTCCAACGTTTTATAAGTAAACTATGTAAATGATTACCAATACAGTAAATTAAGTTAAATTTTCTTTGTATGAGTAATGCTTCTATTGAAGAATCGGACATGGATAGGAGGACTCGGTTCAGCGTAGAACAAGCTAAGTTTTTCGATCACTTCTAGTAAATAATTATGGCATTCTGGTGAAGAAACTTAGGTCTACAAGTTAATTCTTGTGTATTATTCTGACTGGTTAACTAACCTTCACATGTGCTCAAGAAGCATGTCAGGATCTTTTAGTCTATCTTCTCTGGCTATAAGAATAGGGAATAGTAGAGAAATAAAACACAATATATCATATTAAGAGATATAATAATTCATAACCAATTGATATTTTGATAGTATGCAACGACCATTGTGCACTTTCAATCAACGTATAAGAATCAATAACTTAATTATAGGGTAAGGGTCCAAATCAAACCTCCCCCCCCCCCCTCCTCCCCTCCACCACCACCACCACCTCGGGAGGCGTAAGCCCGGGTGGAGGGACTCAAAGGAAAAAAGAAAAAAGAAACCCCACCCTCTCCGAACTTGGAGGGAAGTGGGGAAATTTTATGTGCAGCATTTTCACTAGGTCACTTCCAAAGAGTTTTATCTAGAGAAGACAAGAGAAAAACTGTGCATGTGACCCACTTTTATTACCAAATAAAGGTAGTGTTAGTTTCTTTTGGGTGGGGGATAGGGCAAAATATCAACGAGTTTTGTAGCTCAATATTGAAAATAAATCTAATTCAATCCAATATTTCTGAAAATGTTAGTTATCATAGTTTATCATCATGGGAACAGACAAGAGGTAGAAAAAATCATGTTCAAGCAATGGACTAAAGTTGCAAAAAGGTATCCAAAAGCAAAGAAAAATGGCATCCAGGAGGATCCAGACATTCAACATGCAATGCTCAAATTGTGCTAAGACCAATGTATTTAAGTATCACAATGATTACTTTTTAAAATAATTTGGGAGAGAGGAAAATTAACATAGGAAATGTTGAGGATATTATTAACATTTATTTACTAAAGGTAAAAGTGAAGGTACTAACAACAGTCAGAAAAATGAGAAGATCCATTTGAATGGATGAGTAATGAAAGGAGTTTCTTGAAAGAAAAATATGGAAATCAAACAAATATTGCATTTGTTTATCATTTAATTTTACTTGTATAATACTATATAGTAATTGATGCCTACTGTCGTTGATATATGAGAAGGCAGTGGCGAAGCCACGTGGGGTGGTTAGTTGACCATCCTTTGTCGAAAAATTGTATTGTGTATGTAAGTAAAATATTACGTTTTAGAGGTATATAACACATATTGAACACCCTTTGTCGTAATTTTTTTTCACTCCTATCAAATAAAATACCCTTGGGAAAATTCCTAGCTTCGCCACTGCAGAGAAGCTAAGAATCTTAATTAATTTTCAAAAGCGTGCACAAGCTTTTTATAGTAATTTGCTGAAGGCAAAAACTAATATAATTGTGATGACCCGATAAGTCATCTAGATTTTAAACCTTAATTCTGTGTTTCGAAACCTCAAATATCTCATTTTAGCCTTCCTCAATGTGTGTGCGTAGCCCGTGTCTTTTCCGGGAGGCTTTTATGTTAAAAATTGATAAAATATGAAATTTTACCTTAAAAATCTATTTGAGTTGACTTCGATCAACATTTTGAAAAAAGGACCCGGATCTGTATTTTGACGGTCTCGGTGGGTCCGTATCGTGATTTGGGACCTATACGTATGCCCGGAGTCGAATTCAGAGGTCCCTAGCTTGAGTTATCGCTTTTTGTCGAAAAGTTAAAAGGTTTAATGCATTTGAAGATTTGACTAATGTTTGACTTTGTTGATACCGGGACCGTATTTGGTTCTGAAACTCGGTATAGGTCCATTACTATATTTATGACTTATCTGCCAAATTTGGTGAGAAACGGAGTTAGTTTGACGTGATTCGGACGTCCGGTTGTTGAAATAGAAGTTTTTAAGTTTCATTGAAAGTTTCAGTTGATTTGGTGTCCAATTCATAGTTCTAGGTATTATTTTGGCGATTTAATCGCGGAGCGAGTCCGCATGATATTTTTTGACTAGTGTGCATGTTTGGTTTGGATCCCCGGGGGCTCGGGTGAGTTTCGGATAGGCTATGGAGTGAGTTTGGACTTAGAAAATAGCTGGTGTTCTTTTGTTTCTGGTGCAGGCCTTGCGAGGTCTGGCTTCGCATTTGCAATAAGGCAGGCTCACTGTCAGGTTCGAATTTGCCAGCTATTTCCTCGCATTTGCGAAGAATAGCTGGGCACCAAAGGTCCACATTTGCGAACAAATTGTTCTCATTTGCGATGGGGACCGGGGGGAAGCTTGTTCGCATTTGCCAACAAATCATCGCAAATGCGATGATAGTAGAAATGTTGGGACTTCGCATTTGCAAAGGAAATCTCGCATTTGCGAGGTTCGCAATTGCGACATCTGCGCCTGGTCAAAAGCTGATTTAGATGGGATTTTTCTCATTCTTTAAAATTTTGAAACCTAGAAAACCCTAGAGGCGATTTTCCCAAGAGCTCTTCTTCCCCAATTTATTGGTAAGTGATTCTATCCTACTTTCTTTCAATTTTTCGTTACATTTCATAAGATTTCAACCAAAAATCTAGGATTTTCATAGTAGAAATTGGGTGTTTGGGTAGAATTAGGGATATTTGTAAAATTAGAATTTAGACCTCAAATTGAGGTCGTATTTCGAAACAAACTACATAACCGGGCTCGGGGGTGAATGGGTAATCGGATTTTGGTTCGAATTTCTGGGTTTGGACCAAGCGGGTCCGGGAGTTGACTTTTGTTAACTTTTTCAATAATTACCTAAATTGGATCTTTTCATTCATGGGCAATTCCTAAGGCTTATTTTGATTCGTTTGGTTGATAATTTGCTAGATTAGGTTGGTTTGGAGGCTTTTTCGAAAGGCAAAGCCGTGGTTGAGCTATGATTTGATTTTTGGAGCGAGGTAAGTGTCGTGGTTAACCTTGACTTGAGGGATTAGGACTTGTTTGCCTATTTGCTACATGTTTAGATGTTGGGTACAACATATATGTGAGGTGACGAGTACTTCTGCGTTGTTGTAGGTTAAAGCATGCGGGCGCGACTTGTTTCTTGTAATTTACTTCCTTCTTTGATCATGATATCCATGCTTAGACTAGTTTATTACTAAATTGATCGTTCTTTTCACATTTATGAACTATTTGTGATAATTGAGTATTGCTTTTGAAGTTAAGTTTGATATTGTGGAACCATTATTGACGTAAGGTTTATTTCTTCTTATTTTATCTCCCAATGGTTATATGTTCATTGTACATGGTAAGGAAGTGTGTGAAAGAACGAAGGGTGATGCCGTACCAATTGTTGTTGCCATTATTGATTAAAACGTAGTGAGGAAGAGGGTTAAAGCACGAAGGGTGATGTCGTGTCGTATTTATTGTTTCATGATAAAACTAAGAGTAAAATCATAAAGGGTGATGACGTTCCGTATTTATCATTTATGGAGAGATTGAGAGTAAAAGCACGAAAGGTGATGCCGTGCCATTATTACTGTTTCATGGTAAGGTTGAGAGTAAAAGCACGAAGGGTGATGTCATGCAGTTTTTATTCATCATGTTTATCTGTTTCATTGGCTGAAGTTTATTGACTGTTTCATGTTGTCATTCCCTGTTGTAGTTACCGTATCTTGTACCCCTTTTGCATGTCCCCTCCCAATAGTACATGTTTAACCTTTTTTTGTTGTTATGTTGTACGTATATTTTCGTTTGTACATGTTTAATTACGTGGGTGTCCTGTCATAGCCTTGTCACTACCTCATCGAGGTTAAGCTCGACACTTACGGAGTACATTAGGTCGGTTGTACTCATAATAAACTCTGCACTTCTTGTGCATATTTGGTACTGGTCCCAACTGTACGTGAGGTGCATCAGCTCGGATTTTCATTTGGAGACTCGAGGTAGTCTGCTGGCATCCGCAAACCTTGAAGTCCCTTCCTCATTCCCTATTTATTGTTCCTTTCATTCGAGACAGTTGTAATTATTACAAACCTTGTATGTAGAAACTCTAGAAGCTCGTGTACTTGTGACTTCAGATCCAAGTTGTACAAGAAATTGGATTATTACGCTATTTTGTGTTTTACTTTTAACTTCATTTCTGTTTAATTGGTTAAATTGTTCAAAGTGGTAAAAATTGGTAAAGAATTATTCTAACGTTGGCTTGCCTAGCAAGTGAAATGTTAGGATCTATCTAGATCCCGAAGGTGGGAATTTCGGATCGTGACAAGTTGGTATCAGAGCACTTGGTTGCCTAGGTCTCACAAGTCACGACCAGGCTTAGTAGAGTCTAGAGGATCGGTACGGAAACGTATGTACTTATCTTCCATGGGCTATGAAGTTTAGGAAAAAACTTTCACTTCTATTCTTCTCTGTCGTGTGA